TAGAGAGCAAACCCCATCGCATTTTAGCACTGAAGATGTTACCTAGCCGTGTAATGAAACATTTGCAAGAAAAGAACCAAGCTCAGAGAACCCCAAAGACTCCACAGTTGTTTTCATTCTCATTCTCCTGAGTTCCCTTACCTTGGGACAAAAAGAGAGAAAAAAGGAAGAAGGAAGAAGGGAGGGAGGGAGGGAAAACTGCAAAATACAAATCCTCTTAGTTGTCACTTTTAATTCAATATCACAATTATTCAATGGGACAATTCAATATCACATTCCAGCTCATTCTGTATACTTTGATGGAACTTGAGGTCCCTTTGGATTATAATATTGCTTCAGACATCAGAATCTCTCTGCTGCATCATTTCCAACTTTTTGGGAGGACAGAGAAGTGTAGGGTCCTCTGATGAACGGTGAGTGTATTAAGGAATGAGAAAGGGAGGGGAAAACAATTGTAAGAAGACTAGGCAAAAGAAGGAAAGTTTAAACTATGGGAAGTAACTGTGAATCAGGTGAATATCTGCACATCTGCTATAGCAGAAAGACTAATAAAGCTTTGTCTTGAAGAGATGCACCAGGGAGTTGCAGCTCCTTCTACAGCGGGGGGAAGCAGCATCTGTTAAATGTCTACCTCTTCACATCCCTCCCAGAACCATGATCAAGCGGGAAGAACAAACAATTGGGGAGCAGGAAGCTCACTTGTAAAAATGCAATAAAGACAACATCTTCATAAAATTGCATAGGCCAGAATCTGAGATGCCTAAAATGGCATTTTCTTGGGTTTTGATCCCCAACTGGAAACTAGAATAAACTTAAATTTCAGGGGGGAAAAAAATCTCTTATTGACGTGCAATAGCACTGGCCACCTTCAAATGATAGCACTTTCAAAAATGCAGAGTTAATTAAAACTCCACATGCCCCTCTGCGGTTGCCAGTTGTGAGGGTCAAACTTAAAAAAACTTTTCTTTCCTAGTTTAGTATATATAAATAGGAAATGCATAGATTTAACCAACTAAATCTAGAATTTACATGGATTCTCACCCAAATGGATCTGTGTATAGCAAATTAGATCATTTCTTCTCCGGAAGCTCTTTCCACACCCCACACCTTTATATAGTTTCTCTTCTGTGTGGATCCTTTTATGGGAAGTAAGGGAACCACTACGACTGAAGCCCTTTCCACATTCCATACAAACATATGGCTTCTCCCCTGTGTGGATCCTTTTATGGGAATTAAGATGACTGCTATTAGTAAAACCTGTTCCACACTCTCTGCATTTATATGGTCTCTCCCCTGTGTGGATCCTTTTATGGGAATTAAGATGACTGCTATTAGTAAAACTCTTTCCACACTCTCTGCATTTATATGGCTTCTCCCCTGTGTGGATCCTTTTATGACTCATAAGAGATGCATTTTGACAGAAGCCCTTTCCACACTCCATGCATTTATATGGTTTCTCCCCCGTGTGGATCCTTTTATGAACAGTAAGAGACCCACTTTCACAGAAGCTCTTTCCACACTCCATGCATTTATATGGCTTCTCTCCTGTGTGGATCCTTTTATGGGAAGTAAGACTACTACTCTTAGTAAAGCCCTTTCCACACTCCATGCATTTATATGGCTTCTCCCCTGTGTGGATCCATTTATGAGATGTAAGGGAACGGCTCTCACTGAAACTTTTTCCACACTCCATGCATTTATACGGCTTCTCCCCGGTGTGGATCCTTTTATGGGAAGTAAGATGACTGCTCTGAATAAAAGTCTTTCCACACTCTCTGCATTTATACGGCTTCTCCCCTGTGTGGATCCTTTTATGGCAAGTAACTTGACTGCTTCTTCTGAAGCTCTTTCCACATTCCAAACATTTATATGGCTTCTCTCCTCTATGGATCATTTTATGAGATGTAAGGGACCCATTTTCATGAGAAAGAGTGAAAGTCCAATTATAATTTTTTGCATTGTCTCTGCATATATAATCTTCTCCTTTGGTTTGGGTTGGATAGGGTTCATTTACATCTAATTTGTCTTTGAATAGTTTTATACTTTTCCCAATATACTTTTTCTTTACTTTTCCTTGTTGGGCAACAAAATCTTTAATCTGAGCATTAATGGAAGATGCGCTTTCCTTATTCCAATTATTTGACTGGTTTCTGTCATGCCTTTCTAGTTCCGTTTGAATTGCAGGCTTCTCCGTTCTGTCTCCATGCCTGATCATTTGGAATGGTTCCCTGGAATCTTTATTCTCCTGCCTATTATCACCTTCAAAGGAAAAGTGAAACAAAATGAGAACAACATTAGGAGAAAAATCAAACTGTAGGAAGTGATATGAATTTCCTTCTGAAATTGTGCCAAATTCCAATATCTTGCAGTTTTGCATACTTACAGTGGCATGGTAGAGAAATTATAATTTCTATATTCATAAGCCATAAAAGATTTGAAAATATCTAAAGCATCCTTTTCATTTAGAATTACCCTTAAATATTGAAATCTCACCCACAGTCAGGAAACATTCAAGAAGATATTAGGGGAAAACCTAACGTTTATTGGAGGGGGACCGATTCCAGCAGAGACCTGTGAGAGCTACAGTAAATCAATTTTGAAACTCGCCTTTTTCTTCCTACCCAAACTACCTTCCATTTGCTATTCATTTTTCTCTTGCCAAAATCACATGGTTGCAGAAAAAAAAAAACCCCTAGAGTTCTTCTATTAACCCTAAACATCATGTTTGCAATGGAAAAACTGTACCATTTTGCCCTTAATCCTAAGGCTCAAGAGGGAAATGAAAAGGATGAAAAGTCATTAACCCAAGAGCCTGAATGAATGACAAGCCTTCATAGGACAGGTGGGGAAGCATCTGGGCCCAAAAACCTGAAATCAGTGTGATGGAGTTTAGCTTCTCCTCAAGCCAAGGAGTTAGTTTGTCACTGATACATTTAAACAGAAATGGAAAAATTCACCAGATGAGAAATGGCACAGGATGCATCTAAGCAGAGAGCCACTGACTCTTTCCTTCCTCAGAGCAGGAGAAAGCCAGATCTTTTCTTTTTCCCTCCCAGGAGATGACATCTAGTTGAAGATTTTAATAAGAAATAGCTGAAGGCAGCTAAAGAGGGCCAAAACTTGATGTTACCAAAAAACTACCGGCCAATATCATTATTGAACAAGGATTATAAGTTGTTTACAGTGATTCTGGCTGGAAGGACGCAAATAGCTTTGCAAGAATTTATTCATGAAGATCAATGTGGGGTTTTACCTAAAAGACAATGAAGAGAAACTTTTTGGAGATTTTGGAATACTTAGAACAACATAATGACAAAACAAGCTACACTGATCTTCTTAAATGCAAAGAAGGCCTTTGACAATTTGAACTGGACTTGTTTAAAATTTTGGAAGATATAGGCTTTGGAGAGTATTTTATTAAATGGGTGAAATCAATCTATACTTTGCAAAAAGAATAAATAATTGTTAATGGAGTTAACAATCACAAGCTAGAATTAAGATTGCAGGGAGAAACATCAACAACCTCAGATATGCAGAGGATACCACCCTAATGGCAGAAAGTGAAGAAGAA